ACGCTCCAGTGGAGCGAACCGCTCGTTGATATCGGCAGTTTGTTGTTGGAGTTGACGAGACGATCCACTGAGAGCTTTCAGCAGCTTCTTCTCGTCTGTCTGCGGACTGGCCGAAAGTTGGTGACCGCAGAGAGGAGATGAAGGCGAGATGAACGCGAGACGTCGTCCCGCCATTATTCACGAAGCAGCAAAAACCAAACAAAGGAACTGGAGATACAGTTCTTCTGAATATAGTAACACACACGTGTCTGTTTGTATGCTCGTCTTGCAAGTACTGCTGTCTGAGTCGTGCCTATGACCTCACACGTGATTGGACGAGGAGTCTAAGGGTCCTCCAATCACATACAAGGTTATTGTTATACGGAAGGACCAGTATTTTAGGACAAATGTTGGGACTTTGAAACAGCTGATATGTTTTATGTAAAGCAGTGTTTTGGTGTCAGCGGAACGACTTTCCCTAGAAAACTGTACAGTGGTGCCTCTTTCTCCATTCCACCAGACACTCTTAAGTCTGACATACATGCAATGTTGACAATGTATCATCACATGTACCCTTGTGTCACTGAGGTTGAATGTTTTGCCATGACATGTAAACGGGTAACATATATGAATGTAACTTACTCAATCGATAGATGCAGAGCAGAAAGGTCAGCATATGTTTACGCTAAGTGGTGTGGAAACACTGACAGTTTTGAGGAACCCGTCCTTGACCCTCTAGCAGAACTACGACCAGCCATTATAAAGCAGTTTATAGTTGTTAATGTTGTGTCAAAGGGTACGGCATTTAAACATGTTCTTGCACAAGTTTCCTGGCTTCATCCCCACCCGGACAGACATTTTTATGGAAAGCTATTAGAAGTTGGGGGCTTGCAGGGAACACACGTGTCATACCCAGCATCATTTCTGCCAGTTGGGCTCATTGCTAGAAGATGTGTGGTTAATACATCCTCTGTGCATTTAAGTAAGACCAAAGAAAAGGTCACTGTAGTCCTGCCACTATGCACTGTAGTCGAGCTCTAGGAGACTGATCTCTGCAGACCCCTCATGCTGATTCAAATATTGTTTGCATGGAATGCTCATTTTACCTTCATTAAAACTCATTTTTAAAAGAAGTTATTTTGTGTATCTTTTTTACATAACATTTGCCATTGCTAATGGCGTACACAGTAATCTAGCATATTTGAATTAAATAAATCAATTCAAGCTAAAGTGTAAGAGTCTATAATTAGGCTACTGAGCCTGATCTATTTGTACCAGAGATTTTCTTACCTTTTAAAAAAATGTCACCTGGGCTAAAACTCCCTCTGCGACCCTGATTTGCATTTGTATAGCTCACAGCATTTTCATTTACATGTCAAAGCCTCCCCTAGAATTAGGAAGAGGAGGGTCATGGGGGGACAACTGCCAAGGGAGGCCCACGTCAATTTCTGACAATTTACGGCAGTTTTCGGCGTTGCCCGCAAATTGCCGCAAACCTGAAATTCCACGACAATTTACAGTGCCGCATACTGCCGAAAATCCCACTTTTCATGCAGTGAAAGAAATCACAGAAAACTGCTCCTTAAAGTATAACAGGGTTCATTAACTTCCAACAATACTAATGTGATTAACACCATTTGAATCAACAAAAGCTATTACACGATATCCTAATATCTAAACCACAAATAAAAACATTAATTCATGCATGTGGAGGGGAAGGTGTGTTTGTGTGCGTGCGTTTGTGTGTCTGTGAGAAACCACGAATCAACAACAACCACACTTGGTCGAAAAATGTAAACTGACCAAAACGTTGAGGGGAAACATTTTATAGAAAAATCGTTGGTTTGCGTTGGTCTCCAAACGCATTTTAGTTGATTTCCCAACAGACGGAGGGCAAGCCCACAACTTGGCAGGTCACTGGTGTGCAGACTTCAACTCGGCTGACCCGCCTTGGCACCAATTTCCAGAGATCTCTGATGCTTGTTTTAACTGACGTCATGTTTTTAGGTTAAGTGCAATCTGATCATAACGTTAGGGTTATAAAGGTGTTTTGCAACCAACCATCATCCTGGAAAAAGACTGAGCAGCTTCATTCTAGCTCCCTGTAAAGATTAGAGTGGATTAGACTGTGCAATTATATTGTCTTATCTAACCATAACTTGATGCAGCTGGAACTTCCCCCTGCACATCCGTAGTGTGGGAGAAACATCGTACAATCTGCTGAAAGTAAATGTTGTACAGCAAATCATAAGTATACCATTGCGTATCCCTATGGTTTAATGCACTTATTGTTAGTCACTTTGGATAACAGCGTCAGCTAAATGACATGTAATGTAATAAGAATAACAATTGTCTGCATTAACATCTGAACAAGCAGGCGGTCCCTGCGTGTCTGTCCGGTGACAGACCAGCTTTCACACGCACCTTACTTTGTGAGACAGACAGGCACCTGACATCTATGAACAGCACTGGGTCCCATAAATGATAGAATAAAACCATCGGCTACTTGTTGAACCTCTCGACCAGAACACACTCCAACGGAGACACCACTTCCAAAATAAGTCTTTTAGACTTTAAACTAAGTAGGTTTAACGTCTTTTACGGTAAGACAAAACTAATACTAATAACTGATGATGAATAATGCCAACCATCATAATACTAATGACTGAAATGTACTCATTACACTTTTTGTTATAACAGCAACGCAATTACAATAACTTTATTTTTAATAATCAATCGCGTTATTAAATATGTTATTCATTTGTACAGCAGGCACAAACGTCTGATGTTCTGATGATGCTGGCTCTCGAATGCCAAACTGCGTTGTACTTTTGATGATTATTTGTTCAAACAACCTATTTGACACTTTTCCTTATTTATAAATGTGAACAGCGGCGAAATACTCAAATGTAATTTACAACGCTTAAGGTATCATTCCAGTTATGATGATGAATTAAACAAATTCACATTCACCACCGGAGCGCAGAGGAGAGAGCAAACAGACACTCGGTCAGCTACTTTTAATATCCACCCATCACGTTTCTAGTGGTCGGTAGTCATCAACTAAATTTGAGAAGAGCAGGATGTGAGGCTAAACTAGCTGCGCATTCAAGGGTGGATTATAAATGTATGAAACTAAATTGCACCCTGGCAGAAATATCTTCCAATCCTGTTTGTCAATTGTATAAATGGCTATAACCGACAATATTGAATAAACCTCGAATCCATTGATTTTATTGCAGTGGTTGCAGGTTTTTTATTGAGTGTGACACGTCTCTCAGTGAATATTGGAGCTGCGCCTAATTGTCCAATCACCAATCAACCCTATTGTAATGTTCAGTCGTCAAATCTGACTTGTGGGGTTAACATTTATTATTCACATTTAAATGTAACATTTAGATTTACATTTAACATTTACATTCATATTTAACATGTATATTTACATTTAAGATTTAACATTTAACATTCATAATTATATTTAACATTTATATTTAACTTTTTTTTTCATTTAACATTTATATTATTTAACATCTTTGTGTTACTGCCGAACATTGTCCTTGGAAAAGTCAGTCAAGTGTAATGAAGTGCATGAATTTACATGAATTTCTCTCTAAATGTTTTTAAAAGTGACATATGAATATTGTTGTGCTTTTTTGTTCATATGAAAATGATCAATGTAGCAAAACTGCGCAGGATGTGAGAACGTGCAACATTTTACAAACGGCGCGCCATCCTCCTCATGCAAGTTCCATGTAACGTTAAATGAGTGTCTTCGTGACCATGTGTTTGCCGTAAATGTTTTTTTCAAACTTGATTGAGAATCTGGCATAACACAGCGACTTTCAATTAGCGCAAATGAAGTGATGTGCGTCTTAATGGCTTTAGAAATCAACACAAAGGGATTCGGTATTTGCTCATGAAGCCGGAAAAAATGGGTCATTTGGCCAATGTTTAGATAACCGACCAATGCCAGTTCTGCAAAATGGGTTCTGTTTTGATTTGTTTAAGTTATGTAGCACGCCGGTCAATAAATATGTCCCGGCAGGTCACGTGATCTGAAGGCACCTTCGATCATATTGTAATGGACTGACATGTTGTCGAGGTTACACATTACGAGTTTGTACTTCATAGATTTTTTTCCCCTTACATTACTTTTACACTTTAAGTAGTTTTAAAACAAGTACTTTTATACTTTTACTTAAGTGATACGTCTTTTTAAACCCTAGTATCTATACTTCTACTTAAGTAATGAATGTGAATACTTTTGACACCTTTGCTGCTTCCCAGCGTTGTGGGTGCTGCCACTTTTGGGGCTGGCCTGAGCCCACCTAAGACATGCAGACATGCGGAGGGGCTCAAGGCGAGGCCATGCCCCATGGCCCCCCCTGGCCCTCTATGGGCCAGCTGCAACTGTACCACATACCTGCATAACAAACTTGTCTTTGTATAAGAACCTATGTAAGTTATTAATAGAGAAATTTGCTTTTCCCTTTTAGATTGTCAAAATGGAGAGATGTTGCTGATATACAACCTTTTACTCAAGATTATTAGCAAAAAGCTACCTCCAGTTTTTAAACCTATTTGTATTCCACTATATGCTTTTCATGCCCTGCGGTGATATTTCTTGAGCAGTATTTGGATCATTTACACCAGAGCACAAACCACATCCAAGGGCGATTCAACTTTAGGGGCAAAAAAAAAAAAAACTCAGGATAGAAAGAAAACATGGCAAAAACAAGCTTCTCTTCCATTTTACTACAGTGACGGCAACGGCAGAGCATCTTTCAGAGAAGTTCTCTAAATTGAAGCGGCCCGAGCTGTCAAACAAAGCGTGTTAGCACTGAGAAGAAGGGAACATTGTGGAAAAAGGCTCAAACTTAACTCCACCTCAATCAAGTATAATACTTGCTGTTAAAGTGAAGTAAAAGATTGATGGAATTGTAATTACAATTACACACATTAATTAAACCTACTTTAATACCTTCCGTCACTGACCATTATCCTTTTGTATTTCACCACAGCCTTTAGCCACAGGTTGGAGCGGCTTCCCATTCACACTGCCGCACCCAAGATGAAAACAAAAGCGCGCCTGCTCATTTTATTTTTGAGTGTTTCTGGCGTCTGTGTTTTTTGGAGAGAAGTGTCACGATACGTTCTGCCTCAGGAACCAAGATCCTGTGCTTGTGACCGATGTCTATTTGAAAATGATACGTTGGCCATTGAGCGTTTGAGGAAGTTTCCGCAACCATTTTTATCCAGCAACTACAGTCTGCCAGAAGAGGATTTCAAATGGTGGAGGGTAAGTTGTGACCTAACAACATAACAGTCTCTCAACCTGCAGCTCAAATCCAGATCGGAAAGTAAAATACCTTCACGTTTGACAGTCGCATTTTGGGGATTCTCTCAGCTGTGTTATCCCCTGTGCTCCTTATCGGCCTGGGACCACTAGTAGTGATTTAGGTATAAAACGGTAGCTTGTAGATGCACACTCACTTATGCACTCACTGTCATTACCTGCGCACAATTAATGATTATTTATTTGTCAGAGGCATAATCCCTCAATTTAGTTCATGCAGCAGAAAATACAACATTCATGCCTTTAACAATATGAACAAATCCTTCAAAAATATTTTCTGGCTCTCAATATCATAACTTCCAGTGTGTAGTTTGTATGATTCCTTTGGTCTAACGGCTAGTATGTTTGGTGCTCCTGACAGGTCATACAGGGTGGAGGCGGTACAATCAGTGAATACAGAAGAAACATGTCCAGGGTTTTTCAGCTGATCCCAGACAACCCTCCTCTTGAAGCATCCATCCCCGGATATTGCAGGACTTGTGCTGTGGTGGGAAACTCCCGTAATTTGTTAAAATCACATTATGGACCTTTCATAGATTTCCAGGACTACGTCATAAGGTAAATGAGCTGAGACAAGCATAAATGTCAGAATTAAGTGTCCTAATGCTTTTTCCTGAAAATAACACTGACTTAAAATACATCCCTTTGTACCATTTAGAATCAACAGGGGTCGTTCCAAAGGCTTTGAATCCGATGTCGGGAACAGAACAACTCATCATGTCATGTACCTGGAGAGTGCTTCTCAGTTAGATAACACCACTCGTCCGGTGCTGTTTACCTTTAAGATGAGGGATCTTCAATGGATTACGAGGGTCCTCAGCACACAACCTTCTGGAAAGTGAGTCATGTTTTTCATTTCAGTTCTAGTCTAGATGCTGCGGTTTGTCTTCTGAAGCTGATGTTCCAGCCTGCTAAAGTCCACCAGCGGTACTAAGGGAGGAGTTGTGTTTCATTTGTGGTGAACAGTAAATCCATAACATTCAGAGCCACATAACATGTCACTGTTATCCGTTCATTATATCTTTGCTTTACTTACATACATTCAATAGATGTTTGAGTTTGACATTTCATGCTTCTTTTCACACGTGCCAAGAAAATCCTTATTCAACAAGGATTTGGTGAGTATTATTTTATATGTATTCAACAATAAAAACGTTATATGCTCCAGAGGTAATGGTTGATAAAATACATTGAAAGACTAATTCTGATTTCACAACAGGCAATGGTCCTTAACCCAGCTTTTATGAGGAATATTCATCAAGTGTGGCTGCAAAAGAAGGGCGCTTATGCCTCCACTGGCTTCATGGCTTTGGCTCTTGCCCTGCACATTTGTGACGAGGTAAGTTCAGTTTTAAATGGAGTGAATGTTGTTACTCGCTGATGATTTACAAGTGGAAGCTAATTTCGATGAAGAACAAATAACGTAATCTTATGTTATTTAGCAAGATTCATTGAATGGCTTACCGATGGTTTCCAGGTCCATGTGTTTGGTTTTGGAGCAGACAGTGATGGAAACTGGAGTCATTACTGGGATAAAGTCCCCAACAAAAAAATAAAAACTGGTGGACATCCTGGAAAAGTAGAGTATGAAATGATCGAGGAGCTGGCAAGTCATCAAGTACTCAAATTCTATAAGGGGTGGTAATCGAATGGATGAAATGAATGCGAAGGAAGGCCATACAAATTAACTATAAATGGCTAAAGGAAAAGTCTTTGGAAGGTTCTGAGTAGAAGTGGATGAAGCTATGGCTTATAGTTTTCCACTTATTATTATTCATTTATCAAGACTCATCAGACCAGGCAATGTTTTTACTATCGTTGATTGGGAAATTTTGGTGAGCCTTTGCACATTGTAGTTTCAGTTTCAAACAAATTGTGATTTGTTACAGATGTATTCATGTTTTTGTACATATATTCATGTATTTTCCTTTCAGGAGAATAAACCTGTAAGGGTAATGTGGTGGTTAGTTTTGTCACCTCATAGCAAGAAGGTCATGGGTTCGACTCCGCTCAGTGGCCTTCCTATGTGGAGTCTTCATGTTCTCCCTGTGTCTATGTGGGTTCTCTCCGGGTAATCTGGCTTTCTTCCACAGTCTGAAGACATGCTCTGGGGATCAGGTTGATTGGTATTGCTGAAATGTCCCGTAAGTGTGAATGGTTGTTTGTTTCCGTTAGCCTTGTGATTGGCTGGCGACCACGTCTCTTGGCCAAACCTTGTGTGCAGGATAAGCGGTTTGAAGATGGATGGGAGTCAACTACATGTGACGTAGGAACTCTGTTCCCCTTTTTGTACACTGGGTGGTCCACTAAACAGTAACGGATTGTTTATACCTACCGGGACCTGTTGCATGTCAAGAATGGAATAAATTGCTTCTAAAAACGTAACCGTGGACTAGATCTAATGTTACCCACACAACTTTACGGGAACCGCAACAGGCAGAGAGGACTCATCACCAGCGTGTCATCCAGGTTATTCCAGAGGTAGATGCAGCTCATCGAAAGTTGACGGAGCTCCTTTAAAATACCTACACATTGAATGAAACATTTCCAACCATGAGACATTTTAAACATACGTCCCCAAAAGGGATTTTCTCCAATATGCAGTTCTCATTAAAACACTTCAGAATCTATGAAAATGAACATTAAAGTTCATCTCTATGTTACATTACATGTCATTTAGCAGACGCTTTTATCCAAAGCGACTTACATTACACTTTAAACCCATGGCTTTTTCACATGTTTGCCCGGGGAGCAATTAGGGGTTAGGTGTCTTGCTCAGGGACACTTCGACATGGAATATGGGGCAGCCTGGAATCGAACCAACAACCTTGTGCTTCCCAGCACACCTTCTCTAACCCCTCTAACCCCTGCGCCACGACGATGGGTCAAGTCTACTAGTGTTCACATTAAATGTTGTACAGACACGTTGAAGTGATGTCACAAACCTCTGTATTAATAATACATTAAAGAATTAGATTGGTGACTTTGTCAATGCCAAAACCATACGATTGTTTGGAATTGAGTGTTGAATCTCTCAACTAAATAACCAATGAATTCTACTGGAAAAATTAAGACACCAAGAATTAAAATGCCACGAGAGGATGGTTAATTTTCAAAATAAAACAGGAAATCATGGACAACCTGATTAAGACAGCTTCATGACAACTACGGTTTATTAAATGAACTCTTCAAAATGAGTCTATAAAAAGATTAAATACTGTTCACTTAATATCGCTACCAAACAAAACCAAAAACAATAGACCATGTGGGATTAACCTGTAACATTCGGGAGGTCAATGTAAAGGTGTCAACCATAAAGTAAAAGGCACAAAATAAAACAATAACACTTCATAGAAACCAATCAAATCACAGCAAATAAGAGGACTAAAACAAACCATACAACAAACACATGCAAGATGGCTGTTCTATCTTCAGCACAGCAGCGACCCCCACAAGAAAATTAAACATAAAAAGGCCCATGCAATTGCTTATTGAAAAGCCTACCATATACTAAATAGGGGAAAACACTGGTAGTCCTTAATGCCTGTCTAAAACAAAAGAAACACATCTACATTTAAAAGAAAACTTTACCCAACATTTCATGTTGCATGCATTCAGGGAGTACATCTACCTGCCTGGACCTGCTCACGGTCCCTTCTCCCCACTGGGACAGGTGATTGAGGTAATTGCCCCTTGCCAAGTCACCACGGTAACAACGCACCTGCCTGTAAATGCCCTGTAACGAGCTCCGAGGGCAGAGAGAGAGAGAGACAAAAAACTAATGGAACATAATCAGTGATTATGACAAAAGTAATATAGATATCAACAAGCTGTTTCTTTATAAAATAGTTTAGACATTTGTCAACATTTTAAAGTTTAAATGGTGTCTGTAGCTGAAAGATTGGCAAAGCAAGAAAATGTGAAAGTTAAGGAGGATTTCAAAACGAACTCCATTGGAAAACCATGTTAAAATATTGATGATTGTTAATTTATAGAAATGCAAGCAGAAGAGGTAGAAAGCATTATCCATTGGCATTCATTTCATTTTGGAAATGAGAAGTAGAATTGTTATAGATATGTCTTGCCTTATCAGACTGTAAACCACTTAGTTATTTTGAGTTTAAAGTCTAAAATACAAAAATTGCCGGCAGAACTTGTGATTTGGAAGAGGTGTCTCCGTTGGTGTGCGTTCTGGTCCGTAAGTCTGCGGAGGTTCAACAAGTGTTTGGTCTTATTCAACTGTGACTCAGCATCGTGCACAGATGTCAGGAGGAACGCCAAGCACGTGCACAGACATTTTGGGGGGCAGGTGCTCAAACCAAAACAAAAGGGCACCCATCGCCAAAATTATTCATGAAATTAATAATAAAATAAATATATAAAAACCACAGGAGGATATTTGCCTTTGTAGTCTCTTTTATAAGATAAATTCATTTGACATTTTCTTGTACTGTTTTCTGACAGTTGAAGTATAAAACAGTAAAACTGCCTTTACATGCTCTGCCTGTCTGCCTGCCTGTATCTCTCTCTTCGTTAAAATGTCATATAACAACATTATCAACTTTGCATGTGGGCGGCACGGTGGTGTGGTGATTAGCACTGTCGCCTCACAGCAAGAGCTCAGTGGCCTTTCTGTGTGGAGTCTGCATGTTCTCCCCGTGTGTGCGTGGGTTCTCTCCGGTACTCCGGCTTCCTCCCACAGTCCGGAGACATGCTCTGGGGACCCAACCCTTTTTACCTCACGGACCGGTTTCATGTCAGACAATATTTCGCGGACCGGTCGAGAAGGTCCGACGGGGGGGGGGTAGTAGAAACTGCCGTGCACGGTAAAAGATAAACGCCTGGTGACGCGTGGGGAATATGTCAGAGGACGAGCGCAAATAATTAGGAGAAAACCCGGTCAATTTTCAAAATAAAACATTTTTCAGGAAAAAAAAAAATATATATATATATATAAGCTTTCTGTGGTGCGGCCCGGTACCAAACGGACCGGTACCGGTCCGCGGCCCGGTGGTTGGGGACCACTGCTCTAAAGGTCACGGTGTACGCCGTCTATCGCCCAACGTTGCCTGGGATAGACTCCAGCCCCCCTGTGACCCTGTGTGAAGGAAAAGTGGTCTGAAGATGGATGGATGGATCAACTTTACATGTCACGCTATCCTCTCAACAGGATAAACCGAAGCACAGGTGTGACATCTACTGGTGAATCTACAGCATGATCGATACTGACACACAGTCATTGTCAGTGTGCAATGCGGAAAGTGAATAGATAGCTAATACAAAATATTAATATTATGTAAAAATATTTTGTCGAAACGTTTGTTTTTCACCACATTTTTTTTTATGATTTAGCATTACATTTGGCAAATGTAATGCTAAATCATGACACCACAGCGTATTTTCTCATTAACTAATAATTGTCAGTTCATCCACAGTACGTGAAAAAGAAATACCTTTGGATTTGTGATATGTTCAGTTTTATTAATTTCAACATTGATTATGATACGTAGATTTGCACAACATGTCTTGAGTGTACACAACTCAAGTCAATGAAGGATCCTATTCATTAAAAAACATACTGCAGTTTACAAGCACTTGTCTTCATTGCAGAAGCACATGTGATGCCACAAATTCTGGTAAAAAATAAACTCTCTTTGTCGTTAACATCCTTCTTGGCTTAGGTCAATTTGACGGCAGGGCCGGGAGGTCTGATGGAGATGAACTGCAGGCGGTTTGATGGTGGCGCATAGAGAAGAGAGGATGCGCTGGGAACCACAAGGCTGGTGGTTCGAGCCCCAGCTGCTCCATGTCCCATGTCAAAGTGTCCCCGAGCAAGACACCTAACCCCTAATTGCTCCCTGGGCAAAAATATAAAAAGCCATGGGTTACAAATGCAATGTCTCTTTGGATAAAAGCATCAGCTAAATGCCCTGTAATGTAATTAATAATTATCAACCATATATGTGTAGCGGTTGTACTCTCTCTTGCGTTGTGTTTTTAGAATTATCACCAGGACACGGACCACATTCGGCGTCAATCGGCCGTTTATTTCGTGACGTTAAGACACCTGCCGAACATACAGGAGGTTAGCGTCTTCATAGACTACCTCGTGGCATCATAACTGTTAAACAAAAATAAAAGATATGAGCTAGTTGATATAGCATTGGCAAGGAGACTTTTCGACCGCCAACTTACCGGTTACACACCCTGCAGCAGACTAACTTTGTAGCTACAGGGTGTCGCACCCGCAGGGACCCACTAGAGGGCACCCACGTGACACCCTGTCATGACTCTTAGCAATGGCAAGTGGAGTCAAACACCCGTTACATATGCCACAAAACATTTATCTTTGGCAACTTTATGTCGAGTTTTGCAAAAATGGAAACCTTTTCTGGGAATTGAAGGGAATATATGGTAATTTAACTTGTCATATGCAGATATGCATGCAAACATTTATAATAGAAATTTGAAAAAAAATACATTTGACTCAATTTGGGTAGAACTTTATTCTTGTCTTGATCAAAAACAAAGAAAATAGGGTATTCGCTATGATTTTCCCTGAATCGGGTTGAGAGAATAAAATACTCGGTGTACAAAAGCTACAACTAGATCCTTTGCAAAGAAACACGGCATGTGCTGCATTCCACACATCTTTAAAATAGTTTTGAATTTTGTTACGCGATACCTTTATTTTCCAACGCGCACTCTGTGGCCGCACGAGTGAGTGCACGTTCAGTGTACCTGGCAGTGTTTTCAAGAGATCAATGGAAAATGGTAAATGTAAAAAAATTAAATTAAAATACGTTTCCGGCTCTTTGCAGCCCTAACCTTGACAGAGACGCATTGTTTATACGAGACAGTATGAGTCAAGGAACGCAAACACCAGGACATCCCGTCTTTAGGTTGGCTTGCATAGTTTTCATTTCAACAGGATGACTTTTTCGATGGCAGGACAGGAGGAAAAGAAGACTTCAGTGTATTAGAGGTCTTGAAAAACAAATAAGTGTTATTGACCATGAGGACCATGATGCTCGCTCAATGTCTGTGTCCCTTCCAGCCGGTTCAAGTAAACAACCTTCTCTCAGCCTCTGCTGCAATTGAAAACAGCTGAGTGTAGGATGTTTACATGAACTGAGTCAGAATAACTGATATCGAGGACATGGGTCACCAAATCTAAAAAGATTATGGTTAAAACGTGATCTACTGTTCACAAGCTACGACTCCTGCTTGTAATACAACCTCCGCGGACAAATAGGTCTGGATCGTAAAGAAGCAGGTCTGATAAATAAATACACATCTCGCTAGTGCTTCCATTTCTGTGGAGCTGGAGGCAGTTGGCAGCAGCAAACATCGGACTGAAAGCTCTGCAGATGGACAGCTTCCAGTCGGGGATGTTTACAGCCCCAAACTACCTTGTTCACGTGCACAGCCAGGGACAAACCCACAATGTTTACAGGTAATGGGAAATCTAGACAGCAGGAACTTGACATGTTGAGGGCCTTCCCTCTTATCCAAGATATCCCTCTGAGGAATGCTTCTGGCTGCAGGAGTAAATGGATAAGGGCAGGAAACCATATGGAAAATGGCCATTTGATCATGAAGACACGGCATCCGCAGTGGCTCCAGAGTCCAGCGTGAAGGCATCATGGTCTTGTATTTTCCTAAAACAAATGCAGATGAGGAGAAGTTAGCCTGACGTCCTTCCCAAACACACTGAGCATCTCTAACTGGGTAAACAAGCTGATGCTGAGGACAACTTTCAATGACAACGCACCGGGACATTCAACTGCTCACTGCCAGGTCTAATGATCTGTGAGCAACATTCATGATTTGCTATCAACTGCAAATAGTCAATAAAATGAAAACCTCAAAACTTTGTTCATCTGAATATATCTCAAAAATTTGCAAAGATGACGGAGCTAAGCTAGCTTGCTATGGCAGCAACTTTGAGCGTGGGCTGGCGATGACATTTGCTAACACTACGGTGGTAAACAGCCGTGAGAGTGTTGCGGTATAACGGTGCCGTTGGCGCAATGTCAGTGAAGTTACACAGCTGGGAAACCTTCGCTGTCGCAAGGCCAGCTGCCGTGCGCTAGCCCGACCGACTGCAACGGACTGGAAAAGCTAACTTTAAATAGCAATGCTAGCCTAAACCGTCGCACGCCAATTGCTCCGACTGCACCAGTTTCGTTTGCGCACCGCTCAAAGTAAACTTTGTCCGAGCAGGCGGCCTTGGCAGAGCGGACGCCGTGCCGTGGTTAGCGCTAGCTCCGGTTAGCCAACGACCCGGGCTAGCTAGCTCGCTCACACAGCTAGCTGCAGTTAGCTTCTCTGTGACCCCCAACCTTCCGCTAACTGACGTTTCCTTACCGACGGGAAAAAAAACACGACCATTACCTGAGCACATTGGGCCGACGACCGCCGCACTCAATTGTTGTGGAGTTTGAATTGGTTTCGGTGATTTTCCGCCCGATTCTGTGCAGCCTGTTAAGTTTCCTTCCGTTTTCATTCACTTGTCTTTATTTTGACCTTTGGTTACTCGACACCAACACTGACGTCATCGTCATGGCAACTGAGTCCCCGCCCACCGTGAGCCTGGACCATGGATGTAATAACCTTGTGACGTCGTGGACACCGACTTGTTGACATTCAGCCATTTTAATGTAGTTTTATAGTCGTATGAAGTTGAAAAACCCGGTGTAATCAAATCCAAAGCGGTAGAGGAGTAACCAGTTGACCATCAACAGGAAGGAGAGTGTATCAGAAAAATAAATGTAAAAGTAGTCCAGTCAGTATGCAGAGAAAAAGTAAGTGTACGTGTTATATTCCCAGGACATAAAACTGGATTCAGAAATGAATAATACTGACTAGGTATTTCCCAGATTGGGATATACAACATAACCCTATAGCATGAGATTAATTTATCTAGTAGCATCTAATCGTAAGGTCCTCTCATCATTCATTGCTTTTTGTGTCGTCTGACTCATAAATGAGTCGGCTGTGTCAAATGGCCTGTATAAAAAAACTCACCAAGAATATGGTTATTTTGATAATTGAATACCTCATTTAATAATTGGAATATTAATGTGCTAGTTACATTAGCATCGAAGGAATGTGCAGGGGTTAAGTGCCTTGCTCAAGGACGTGTTGCAGAGATTGAAGGCTACTTCTGAGAATTTAACCGTCTGATATTTTCAGAGAATTAAGCAAACTTTTTCATGTTGCATTCTTTGGATCCCGCGTTGCTCAGTATCCTCCACATGAGGTCAGGCTGGACCCGTCCGATCGCCTTCTCCCCTTTATTTCAGCCGAGCCGAGTTAAGTGCGATCTTCTGATGGATTACAGGACCTTTATTCACTATTTAATATTCAGCGCACATCAATGTGTTACGACATAACTCTGAGTGCAGATTTTTTTTTCAAGGGTCTGAAATGTAAAGCAAGATCAGCAAGTGCAAATTTCTGAAAGTTCTCTCTGAATGTATAATAATAACAATATTCATTAGGTCTCGGGAAAGCTGTGTAGCGCTCAGCGCGTAACACTGCTCAAGATTTCTTAATAATTCATATAACATATCTCAGTTATTTATTATGAAAGGACTGAGCGAAGAAAATCCATCTATAACCTAACCAGGAAAATTGATTCCCTTGTCATTCTGTGTGGTCTGAAATTGCCCGGAGCTATTATGGGAGAGACTGATTTTCTCTGTGCAGTGGAGTGGAACAGTCTCCTTTTTGCAAGATGTGAACAGATATATATATATATATATATATATATATATATATATATATATATATATATATATATATATAGCAGATGTTGGCCAACGATTATGCTACAAAATACAATGTGAGCAAAATGTTTAACGATAAATCCATGAATAGCGGTTTGACTGACTTATCGAATCTTAAGTGGTTCAGAGTACGACGGCAAAGAAAGAGGGCGAACATTCACATCACGATCACATGTATGTGGAGGTCTTCACCGCGGACGCTGCACATGTCGGGCTGCTCGCGTGTGTTTCATTTGACGGACGTGAACACTTGGTTGTGGCGGCAACTGCTCGCTTTCTTTACCTCAAATTTGTCATACGTCGCATCATTGCCAAAAAATTGATTTTCTGTTCTGTTCTGGTTATTACTCCACCTTAATGTTTCGATCAAACCGTGAGCCGTGACTGAGAGGCAAACTAATAAGGTCATCTGAGGTTAGAGACATTGTTTTTTGGAAAGTTTGTTGCGGGTGGAATTACAACAGTTGAGCTGAGCGGAGACTTTTTATTCATGAATGCCAATAAAGTGTTTCTTTATTCAGGAATGTTATTTGTTTTTTTTCATTTTTAGGAGTATGATGCACTAGTAGAGACAGTAGGCCTTCAGAAAGCAACAAACACAAACAAACTTCCTCATTTATGGTATTCAGCAATTTGTTCTCAATGTGTTGCCACTCTCACCAAAATGGGATTATTGTATCGGGATCTCACAAGGGTTGGAGATTATTTGAACTGTGGAAGTTGCCGTTTCCAATTTCCCTCTCGGAAATCTCCAATGCAACGCCTGAAATTGGATTTTCCGTCTCGGAAGGTCGTCGCCAGATCGTGTTCCCTCACCGGCTAAAAAACAAAAGTGATCTAGTGAGTGTTTGATGGAGTTTAGAATCCCACGGTTACAGGGGGGGGGGCGGACGAAAAGTCAAGATCCAGCCCTGTTCTCGCAGTCTTTGCCAACGTAAGGAAGCAGTTTTCAACGTGAGGAACATTAAAAGGGTTGAATATCATAATAAAATCAAGTTTTTAATACCCATTAAGGCCTACTTTCTTTTGTCTGAGAGCAACTTCTGACCAGATCAGTCCTATAAGTCCCGTTACAGCACACCAAAGCTTCTTTAATCCAGAAGTTCAAAGTGGGCTCAGTTGCCGTATATGTAGCATATGTGTGACGGCTCTGCTGGAGGATCAAGTGGATTATGACCCAAGTTTTAGGTAAAGTGAACCTTTGACGAACTGAATGACCCTGTGATATTTTTCATCAGCAAATGGAAACGCGTCCGCCGCGTGTGACGTCTTCATGTGAGCAGGTGTTCAGCCTGCAACGTTTGACCACAGCGTGTTTTCAGTTATCTGCTTGCCCAACATGGCTGGTTGCAACAATTTTTGTTCCTCTTTTTTAAATTGCAACAGCTCGTCGCCCCGCCAAAATATCGTGATGTTCACTTGACGTTCGCTCACGGGATTTTATTTCGACTTGCTCGTGAGCCTTCTCTGCCACCTCCACCGAGTTCCATGTTCCCTCCCCTGCAGCTGCAAAGCCAAGGTGGACACCATGCAGGGGGAGAAGTGTCCAGCGTTCTGTTGTCAACCTTCTGACCATCATGATTACACCATCCGGGTGCCGCCGCGCTGCCTTCTGGCCCTCTTAGTCTCATTTGTCCACTCAAAATATAGTTCCAAGTACCTTGGAACGCAAATAAAGACACAGCAGGGGGGCAATTTATCCATCTTTCTTAAGCATTAGTTGAACAATGAGTAGGCTGAAACTTGAATTCAATAAATGAGAAAAGTGAGCGGTGCATTTTAAATTTTGCCTTTGCGACTATTTCAGTCAATAAAAAAGAATTCATCGTTTTGAGTGGAAAAGTGCCACCCTTCTCCTCACTTGCCACTTCATGGCCCTCTTGTCAAAAAGCAAAGAATCTAATTCTTCTAAAATATTTCTGTGTCTGTTCAACGTTTTTTGTTATATGCTGGATTTTATGTGAAGATCTATCTCTAAACTGCAAAAAAGCTGGATATAATTCACTGCCCCTACCTCTGCTCTCCGATGGCCTTGGAGGATTTATGTTTTGTGTTAAGTAAGGCTGAAGCTACTCATGTTATCTCACTCCATCAATAGCAAATACATTAACAATATCTAGTCGCTGCAAGCACACTATTAATTTACCACGACCTGTCCCTACAGGGGCAGAATGATTGTTGGAGGCAACGAGGTGGATCTGCTTACCCTTCCCTGGGACACGGTGTCGCTGCCGGGGGGGGGGGATCAATGTCCACCGAGCTCGGAGGAAGCGGGGCGGGCAGGCAGCCAGGAAGCCGGCTGGAGGAAGCCCTCGACCTCAGCTCGAGTGACGCTGTCACCTAAGAGGTCCCAGCAGGCCCCCGCCGAGACAGGGAGGAATGTGCCGCCTGATGCCGGAGCCATGTCCTCTCACGCAGAAACACGGGCCTTCGTCCTCTCAAAGGTTGAAGAGGACAGAGGTAATAGATAGTGCAGGCTCCGGTTCATGACAGGAACAACCCACGCGGCCTTTGACAGATAATCGGCAGTCGGACATTGTGCCATTTATCATTCAGAGACCTCCAGTGCCTCTCAATCACAGCAAGAACCATTGCAGGAAGATTGAACGCATTCCGGCTGCGACGAATGAAAACTTCTCGTTCAGCTCAATGAACCAGAGAAAAAGGGAACAAAAAAAAGACATTGGTTTGAGTTAAAATACAGAAAGTAACTATACGCTTGTTATGAAACTGCGGTTAATAATGAGGACAAAAACAGCAGTCTTCTGGGTCGGTGTCCTGTGTTTGTTTGAACCATCCAACCTCCTATGTGGACTTCCTGCAGTTCCTCTGACCACGTGATGAATGGCTGTTCATTGGAGCTGGAGCTTTATGCTCCTTTGGCTCGGCGGCATCAGATAATACCGGATGTGTTGGGCAGGAGGCTGTGAAAAAACGAGCATAGAATATGCCGTGTGGCCTATGTGCTCCTGACGCGACGAAGGAATCATGTTTTCAGTTAAATGCCACAGTTCAATGGAAAAACCATCATTTCACCAGTTGCTGATAAAAAAAAACAGGAGAAACACTCACTTACAGAGTAGCTTCCAGGCTCCTCTACACATGAAACCTCTCCATTTGACCTCTCCAATTAAAAAAAAAGAAAAAAGATTGATGCCAGGTTTTCTACCCTGCCGCCGAATAAATGCGCGTGTTTGAGCTCACGAGCCCCGCAGCAGAGCTACCGCATCAGCGAACTGCTCAACCTCGCGACTGCTCCCCTCGGCTAGGGTCATAGGTCAATAATAGAGCAATTTCAACCAGTACAGCACAGCGGGGTTTGCAGGAGAGCCTGGCAGTGAGCAAACACGACATGAAGTTGGTCCTCTGCAGCAAACGCACCGGCGTGGACACGTAGTCACTGGAGCGGGTGGTCCAGCAAAGCGTTTTGACATTGAAATATCAGACGAGCAGAAAATTGAGTGTTTAAACCGTTTTCCGTCGGGAGGGATCACTTGGTCACATCCAAATACCGGCTTTAAAGGATGCAACATGAAAACGGGCCGGTGGGAGCGGTCGAACTCAACGTTCCTTCGTTCTCAGCATTGAGCGGCGCCGCGCCCAAACAGTGAGTGAGAAGGCCCCATCCTCCTCCTTGCTCGTGGTCGTTTCCTCACGCAGCCTCGCTCGATGTGCCTTTGCCTCTATTGGGGCTGTGGAGGGGATTGGAAATGACATTTTAACGTGGTCACGCAGAGCCG